GTACGTACGTACTACGTAACTCCGTATACGTACTACTACGTACGTACGTGTATATGTGTGTGTGTGTTGTCGTGGGTGGGGGGGGGGCAAGTAAAAAAAACAAAGCACTTTTGTTATCAGTAGTGGGTTACTAATAATAATACAAAAAATAAGTGGGGTGCCTTTTACTTTTCATATTGTTAAATTTCCAGTTGTTACATTTCTTTTGTAGAGTGGAGAAGTCTAATTTCCCTGTCCTGGCAGATAGCAAGAATTAAATAAACTCGAACTCTTGTGCCATTTACAATAAATACATGTTTTTATTTCCCAAATACTTGTCCCTCCTTCATTAAGTAACTTCATTCTATTCTTCATAATACACGTCCAAACTTGCTGTTTTTCCACAGTTTAATATTTACCTATTACCTTACGTTTTAACTGAAAACATCACGAATAACACGTTTATGATCTTAAATTGTATTTAGTCTTTTTCAGTGTAATCATGGTTCAGTTTCTGTTAATATTATTATTACACACACACACACACACATACTGTCAAGTTATAAATACTAAAATAATACATTAAACACTTTAACTGACTATAGTCTATACCAACTTCAATACCAAGTTTTTCATTATAGATTTATTTTTCTTACTATGAGCTATATTTATGTGTTCTCCAAGACACACAAGTGCACAATGTCCAAAAGAATTATTTCTGATAACTTACTTCAACTAATTATGAATAAAAACTCACTAAAGCTTTTTACTATATATATAGTTCAAAGTAAATACTTGTCAAAATTCATCACCTTTAACTTGAGTGTCATCCTGAGCTTTGTACTCTGTACTCTTTATTGCCAGCTCTACCCCATATCCAGAAAGCTTTACTTTCTTGTTTGAGCGTCTCTGTTTAAATTAAAATAATAAATACAATAAATTATAACTCTGTAGATCATTTTCAAAGGAAAACAAATTATTTCTTTTTGTCCTGCTAAGAGAGAATGTTTCAAAATGCTTGATTTTCTTTCATTTTGGTTTACACTAGAATCATAAATATGACTTACCACAGGTAAACTAGTGAATTAGGTCAAAGTAAACATATTGAGAATAATAATAAAATACGATATTAAAATAACAAATGAAAATATAGTTATTTCAACTTTAATAAACTAAATTGCAAAAAAACGTTTTAACTAGATGTATTTGTTTCTCAAAAGTTGTTTTAACACCAAGATGGATGTCATAGTTTCTGATGTTGAAGTTAGAAAACAACCACACTTTACTTCCAAAAAACTTGCTTCTCAATAGCATTTGGCAAAAAATATGTGGGGATAAGTGGGTTGGCCAGACTGTGTTCTTCTTGTACAAAATATCAGAAGCAGTCACGTTTTGGCAGGTACCACACTCAGCCACCTTATGGTGGCAAGTAAACTTCATTGAGCTTTCCCTTTCATTTCTATTGACAGAACTTGTGAGAACCACAAAGAAAATGGCTTTATACAGCTGAGAAACCAGATATATATATGTTATATATATACATGCTAGAAACTAGTACAAATTTGGCTACACTGGTGGGTAATTCAGATTCTATATATATTGCAACAAGTTCAAATCTCTATTGGAAAATTAAAAAACAGAGAGCACCAGAAAGCTTTGTTTACAAATCAACTGACCAAACACATTTCCCTGACTTGCATGCTACACATTAAATTAAAATAATCTAAAAACCACATTATACTACCATATGAGCATACCATACAATGTTTTTGTTTCAGCATGCAGAGTGTGTGTGCATGAAAACAAAAAAAAATCTAAAACTTTGTTCACTGTGACTTACTTTTAAGATGAATAACTAATCACTCACCCTAATATAGTGACGTAATACATAATCAACTTCTTTTTTTTCAGCTTTTGACTTCAGATACTGATGAAGTTCTATGAAGGATGGGGTACCTATTTCACCATACAAAATTACTGTAACAGGAGCTGATGTGGAACTTGGGTAATGGTGATCAACTTGATAAGTATCAGTATGGGATCTAGAAAAAACAGAAATAGTTTGCATAATTTAACTCATTAAGTACCAATTTATGCTTGAAAAGAAATAAAATATACTAAGCTCATTCCATTCAAAACTGTAATTTTTAGTTCAATTTAATATTTATATAAAAAATAAGTGATATATATTTGATTAACATTCTAATGAAGGACAAATTGTATTTAATTCTGACTTATCAGATTTCTGAGTATCTGATTATGCAAATCAAACTCAAATTTGTTATTCAGATAGGCCTTCCATTCAACAATTATTAAGACTTTGAAAAGTATGTACAGAGAGTTAAAAATTATTGAAGTAAGCATAAATAGCTACTGTTTCCTTGCAATTGTCAGGTGGTTCTAAAACTATAACCAAATAATGGAGAAGCATTTTTCCCAAATGTAAGAGCAAAACATGCTAACCAAGCTTTTAAAATGCCTTTAAAAGCTTGACTGATGGTGAGAGTGGAGTATGGCCACTCTTTCCAAAAAGAAGTACTCATACTATAAGATTGTTAAATGATGTAGGGTCAAAGAACCTAACATTTGCAAGAGAGAAATTTCAAGTTTCTCATCTGTGTGAGAAAATGTGCACAGGAGAGCATTTAGCATAGCAAACAAGCTTTAAAACTACACATCAAACCAAACAGGAAAATGCCCTTATCTACAAAATGAAGGCTATGGTTAAGAGAATTCTCAGATGCAAAAACCTACTCCAGTGAAATTGAGCATATCTTATGGTAATATTAACAAGATAATAAACAAGGATTTTAAGATGAAAGCTAAAAACCCAAAAGTTTCTAACAACTTCTTGAAATCATGAGAATTATTACCAAAGAAAGAGAAATTAAAACTTTTGCTTTCAATGAAATATCTGTTAATTTCCCTGAAGTAGGTCCAAACAGACTTTTGTGCTTTTGATTTGCTTAAGCATGCATTTAGAAGCCACAAGACATTACATGATTTAAGGAAAACTGAACTGCACAATAGAAGTAGGACAACACTGATATAGCTGATCTTATAGATCTTACAGCCTACCTACCTTGGATTACTGATAGCCTGTTCAAGACATCATTTTACAGTGGTGTTATGAGCTGCAACTGATTTCAAATGCTTTTATGTTTTTAGCATTTCACAGCCAATTTCCAACCTCATGATGATCATTTGTATAAGATAAGACCTATCAATAATGAAATGATCTATATTTTCTACCCCAGAAAGGATTTGTGCATCAATAAGTCCATGGTACTTTAGCATGGCAGGCTCTTGTTTTGGTAGTATATCAAAAATAAATGCCACAAACATGGAATCAAACTCTATGAACTATACAAATCTCAAGATCTGGTACTGAAGATTCGCATATACTCTGGAAGTGGTCTTGATTATGATGCCAGCTTGGGACAGGCTGCGGCTGTTGTACTTGATCTGTTGGCTGATTACCTGGACAAAGGTCATGTTGTGTACACAGATAATTAATACAATTCCATGAGTTTGGTAAAAAAAACTGACTGAGCAATCAACCTACATATTTAGAACACTTCGGTTTGACTGTAAAAAAAAAATCCAAAGGATGTGGTCCACAAAATATTGAAGAAGAGGGAACATGAATGGAAGTGATCAGACTGAACGGTAATTTGTAAATGACAGGACAAATAGGAAGTGCTCACATTAAGCAACATGCACAGAGTTGTGATAGTTGATGTTGTGAATCAGAATAATAAAATTTTGAAGAAACCCAATAAATCCACAAGCCCTGATGAGATTTAGAGACTTTAATAATGACATATGTCTCTACTAGAGATAGAAGGAACTTTTAAATATAAAACTTCCAGATGTGCTACCAACCAGCGTGTATGCAAGTAATAATAACATCTTAAGTGTGCAGAGTCACATCTACAGAAATTAGTCTATCCATGGATAGATGGATCTGACTAGATGTTGTCGTATTATTCACCTCTACTTTATACAATACAATGGTACAAGAAGATTGCCCTTTACATCATTGAGATATTTATTCTGAAAGCCCACATCCTGTACAATGAAAATAGAGAACAGCAAATGAAACTGTTGAATTGTCATGAATGTGTAACAATTCATCTGCTAGGTAATACCATGGAGGATATTCAAGGCCAGGGGCAAAATGTACCCCAATTCTATTGCCACCTACAAATAATAAAGAGAAGCCAATTAATCTGTTGTATCTGCACAAAGGCTAGTATGATAGGAGATACCCTCTACATTTGTGATGTCTACCCTGAAAAACCAGCCCTCTGTAAAGATAAATGATTCAAGGAGTACCATGTGCCTCAATAATGGACAGAAAACAAAGAGACATTTATACACATTTACTGGACATTATTTTTTGTCATTTGGTTATGATGTGAGAACACTGAAAGAATAAAATCATAAAATTTGAAAATGTTTATTTATTATCAATTGCTTATTGATCTAGACCTGATCAAACAATGCCAAGGATCAAGTAAAATAAACCTATTTCAGTTATAATCATTTATTTTTGCATTGTAACCATCTCTTCTTTAATCCTAGTTGTGTTGAAGTGAGCTTTGTGGAGATATCATATTTGTGCATTTTAGTGAATTTCAATAGCACAAATAATGATACAATACAAATCATGATTATTACATAGATTTATGTTCCCCAAACTGCCAGCAGATTATTGTGTTATCTGAGATGTCAACATTTTCTATTTACTAAGCAATAGTGTAATCTTTTCTATGAGTATACTCGTAGTGGGCAGTCAACGTGTTAATTGCATCATTGGTAGTTGGTACCAAACTAAACAAAATTCATACAGTAACATAATTATTTCTTAACTATCTCAGAAAGGTTATATTTCATTTTATTTAGTCTTAATACCTATTCTTGCCACAAGCAAACTAAGTTAATATAAAAAACTACCATCATTGGCAGTTGGTACCATACCAAACTAAACAAAATTCATGCAGTAACATAATTATTTTTAACTATCTCAGAAAGGTTATATTTCATTTTATTTAGTCTTAATACCTATTCTTGCCACAAGCAAACTAAGTTAATATAAAAAAATACCAACTGAGGATACATATGAATGCTAAACAGAAAAATTCCTACTTTTTTGATTCTGAAGCCAATAACGTTCTTAATTCTTCTGGATCACAGATAAACTCTCCTCCTACTTGTGCCACACTATCACAGTCAGAAGGAAAGTGACTACTCTTCGCTATCTAGAAAATTATTTAACATTTCCTGCTGAATAACTCAATCATTATTTAAATAACAATGTATATGAAATGAAACACTGTAGGTATTTCTAATAAAAATACCATTCAAACCATTTTCAAAAACGAAAGAAGTCTTAGACTTTAAAAAATCTCCATTCTTACTATTTGAAAATAAAATGTAGCTGAATACAAATACCAGTTTCAAATAAAATTTAATTCCAGAAATAGCAATCTGTTAAAAAAGGAAATATTTACACGCTATCTTACCACTTGTGATATTCAATATTAATAAAAATAAACTAATCAAAATAAACAAGTGCATTTTTAGAACATGTGTACCTAAAATAAGATTAAGAAGTTTTGAAACAGAGAGTTTGCAAAAAATACATTTTAAGTCACAAAGTATTTTACATTACTTACATATTTACTTTTGTTAACGTGGGTCAGGAATTCGTAGATGTGTCTCTGACTTTTATTAGTTTACATACAAACATATAACTGAGTTTAGAATGTGTTTTATGTGTTAGATGTTTATTCCTCAAACTCCTTTTACAGTGATATATAACTATTTCTCTGCAACCCTTTTTAAAAATAATTGCTTTAATAAACACAACTTATGTTAAAATATTTACCTGATGAAACATTTCTATTGTGGGAGAATAAACCCTTAGAGCGAGGGAAAACTTCAAAAAGGCCAGTTTGGGAGGGGACAAAAGCTTACTGGCAATGTCAACTACTACCTCATACTGTTGTTTAGCTGTTTCTAAAAGTAACATAAATTTAAAGAGTATTAAAACAACTTTTAAATAGTAATTGGTAGTACACTTTGCACAATTATATACATGCTTTTCAAACCATAAGTATATATAAAGATTAACCACAAAAATAATCTAAGTCAAAACAAAATCTAAATTCATAAATGTTTAACAACTAGTGTGAAATTTATTTTAGTAGCTTCTAATGCAAGCTATTTGAATATAGCTGCCAAATTTCTAAAAATAAATTATCACTGTTCAGTAAAACTCAAATTAACAGTACACAACTGCAGTAACTTGCAATCATAATTTAAAGAATACTGTACAATGTAATTTCTAAATTATGATGAAGCCATTAATTGACAACTCTATTCAGAAAACAATGTAATATAATACATCATTTGATAGATGAAAACCTTGGCTTTCTATTGGTTATAAATAGTACAGTTTTCAATGCAAGAATGAATTATTAACCAATTCTGAAATAGAGGATGTGACAGGTGGGTGTGGCAAGAGGGGTCTGATTTTCTATTTGATGGCTCTATCGACAAACAAGATTGAAAGCCATAAAAATTATTCTTATAGTGAGTAATTTACATTACATTTTGCACTTGGAGAATAAATTAGAGACGAGGGGAAGTCTAGAAAAAAAATGTCACATTTCTCACACCAGGGGAAATTCAGTTTTTTTTAAATGTTGCCATATAAAATTAAGAACTTAAAACTTATATACTACTAAAATATGGATTATTGGCTATGATTTTATGCTATGCTAATTGGTATAACATAAACAAAAAGTAGTTTAATTAAATTTTGAATGTCACTAAAACCTCGTAATATGTGCTGTAAAGGATGCCTGTGCAGAAAGAGTTAAACAATAAGTTTACTCCAATCAAATTGGACTGGTTTCATTGCTTATAAGTCATTCTTCAGAATTTTGAAAATTTATAAAGTAGAAACTAAATAATAGATGTTTAAAGGAAATTCAGTAAAATAATACACTAAAAAATATACAGTGTAAATGATTTAAAACATATTATAAACAATCTCAATAAATAATATTTTATCTTTTTTACAAAATTTTTAATGCAATTTAAATACATAAAAACGTATGAAAACATAAAATTGTCAATAATAAAACACTTCTCTGTCAAAAAGTTAATGTACAACTAAGTAAATGATTGTGGGTATACAAGAGATGAACTTTTTCATACAGATTCCATATTTTCTAGTTAAACAATAGATGATATGTGTTCTTTTTTAAAAGGATAAATAAGCAATAAAAGAAGGACATGGATGCATGCAAGTTACATTTTTCAGATCAGTAATTAAATATAACTTACTTTGCTGTAATGCTCCAGGACCAAGCCTAACAATGCTTTCTACATATTTCCAGAAATAATCTGGACTATCTTCAGCTAAATACTCACTGAAAAAAGAACAAACAAGTACTTGTAACTGTATTATTGAAACTCCAAATATATTACCATATACTACATATATTACAAAACATGGATTCAAAATAATTTTTGATATACATTGTAAACTAACCTAGCTTCCAGAAACAAGGGAGTATCCAACCATTTTGCATCAAGTTGAACTGTAATTGATTTCTGGCTTTTTGCTCTAACACAGCTGAAGACAATTAGAAAGATGCACACCTTCAGTCCTGTTACTTCCATGGCCTATAAAACAAATATAACTTACTTTAAGACCAAGTCAAGTAATGATATTGTAACATGAATTTACTTTTAAATCACCAGATAAGATCAAAAGAACAGGCTACAATAGCAAGTTAACAAAATGCACATTTTTTATCAAACTGAAGAAGGTAAGGAAATTTATCCATTATAAAGATATTACTCCTAATTCTGGCAATTCTTAACAAAAATAAAAACATAGAGATTGACAGACTGATGTAAAAGGCAAACACAATTAACACTGATGAATTCACTCAATTATCTTGATTAGTAAATTATACAATCACCAAAACTAAATGTTAATTATTTACTTTTTAACATTAATAAATTATAAATACATACTAATTTATATGTTTTGGCTGCTAATCCACTTCAGTCATACAGGAAGTCCTGAGAAGAGCTGTGTTTCTGGCTGGTATTCAATCCTAAGTCTTCTTGATAGAAAGATTAGTGTGGAAACATTCCTTCTCAGATATTACTGAAAACAGCAGCATATTAGCAGCCAAAATGTAGGATATAAACTGATCAGTAATTAGTATCTATGAATAACAAACATATCAGTAGCTTATTAACAAATTTAACATGATGACTGTTATGTAACCACCACAACATCACTGTAAGTTTATAAGAATATGAAAACATTATACATGGAGTTTTATTCAAGCCAATGTTCTGATAGAAAGTGTCAGCATGAACAGATCCTTATATTTCATCTTCTTAGCTTCCACTAGAGGAATCCAAGCTAAACTTTACCAAAACTTCTGCCTTCCAAAAGACTGATGGCATAAAAATATTTCTCAACACACTATCTTTGTGTCTCGTATATTCCCAAATAATCTGATTTTACTAGTCCAAGTTTTCAGAAAAATGTAAAGATGCACTTCAAATTGCTAAGAATCAGTCTTGTTGGTCTTGTACTTCACAAAATACTTCAATGCTATTGAATACGAGTTCAGGTTCCTCTCTTAGAATTAAAATTAAACCAGATAAAGTAAGTCATACAAAGCCACTAGAACTGGTAGATTAACTCAATTATTCAGTTATTTGTGGACATCAATTACATCGAATAGTGTCACATAAAATTATCAATTAATTGAAATCAAGATTAAATTGGTTGAAGTCACAAATGTAATTAACTAATCAAAATTAGTGTTTCAATTATTCTAATCATCTAAGTAACAAATTTGCCATTATTATTTATCATTATTTCTTATAATTCAAGTTTTTTAGCATAACCGATTATTCTCATAACTCATGAAAATTATCAACTAATTGAAATTACATTCTGGTTTTTCCTATTTTTCATTATTCTAACTATCCAAGTAACTAAAATATTGCTATTATGACATCTCATTATTATTTTATTTATAATTTCATATTTGTTTGGCTTAAGCTGTGATCAGTCTTATGATTGAAGGGTCATGGGCTTAATTCCCATTGCCACCAAACATGCTTATACATAATTCACGACCGTGAGGGTTTGATCTCATAGCCATTGGCTACGTAAATATGCACATAGACACTTGTTGTTTCTGTTTAACTTTATTGGATTAAACAATAGTGTAGCTTTAACTTAAAAGATTGCTTACTTATTACAGACTACAAAGGTAATCAATGTTATGTGGATAAGATTGTTTTAATTAAAAAGTTATAGGAAGTTATTACCAATTATTCTTTATTCGCTTAAAACATTGTCTAGTACACTAAGCTTTAAGTTGTTTGCTTTTTTATTATGTAGCTTTGTGTTTAACAACAAACACACATAATAGCAATATTTCTTTTACCTGGCTAGTAGAAATAATCAAATCTTCTCATATAATAGCTTTTCTTGAGATGTGCTACCCTCTATATGTAAAATTTTTGCTTGCCACTAGCCTTGATGCTCCCACTTAAACTCATCTAATTTTTGTTGGTATAGCTTGCAAATGAGCATGTGACACACTCTCCTAGTACAGCTGACTCCTATACTGTAGAAGACTCTCATCACTTAAGAGATTAGGCACAAAGATGCACAAGAAGTTGAGAAAATGGGTGCCAAGTGTGAAAAGAGGTAAGTATCTATCAGGAAATACATTTTCAGTGTTGGAAAATGTTAACTTCCAATACAATACCTTACTTCATCTCACATAATAGTTAGAATCCCACAATGAAGCAGTGGAGGGACTAGTGCAAAAGTTACCAAAGTGAGCATTCTTCAGAAGGCATCCAAAGAAAACCCAAAAAGTGTGATACTCTAATGTATAGGGTCACACCCGTGGGAGACCACACCTCATCTGTACCAAGTATGCTCTTCACCTATTGTAAAGATACGCATCCCTAAAATGGACGGAAAAGATGCAGGTCCGATCTGCAATTGTATGCGACAAATGGTATAGAGTGTTTACTGAGCATCAGACTATATTCGGTGGGTCAACTCCAGTCCAAAACCAGGTGGTATCTTTGTCTTCTAGTCCATGGTAGAGGAGGGGTCCCAACATTCTTCACTTCAACACCAGGAATCAGAAGGGAAAAACAACTTCTGTTTCAACAACCCAAGCAGGGCACATGTGTGCATACCAATTACACAACATTAGACCCCCTGGGAACCCAACATCTAGGTAATGGTAAGAAGAGAGCATGAAACATGGTGGATCAATTCAAGTCCAAAACCAAGCAGCATACGGAATTTGTTGTCCGGTCCACAGTAGGAGAAGGGCCCTAACCAACCACATGTGTGAAGACTTATGTTGGCTGTTCCTGCACTGGTCCAACACCAGACCATCTGGGAACTGACATACAGATAGAGGTGGGATGGGGGAAAGCCAGCAGGAGTGGTGAACTGCATGTGGTGAATTAGTCCAGTCCAGAACCAGGTGGCATCGGGAGTTTTTCTTCAAGTTTGCAGAGTAGGAGAGTACTCACCATTTACACCAACAGAATACCATTTCCCTATTCTCGACTGAGTGGAACTGGTCACATTCAGGAGGAAGCCTCCATGGTCCACCACCCCGGCAGCTAGGAACTATTTAAGTGATACAGACTCCCATACTCCACTAAAGGGGGGGGGGGGTAATGCAGTGGGAAGTCTGGAGGAACACAACACTGTAAGACAATGCAATGTGTGAATGCGAAACCCTATTTTGAAAAGCAGGCCAGTCCCAGTTTATTCAATTAAGACTGGAGGTATGGGCAGCAACCTTGACATTGCTTTACTCATGAAAGTCCATGAATTGGTACAGTCTTATTTAAGAAACAAGATGCCACAAGGTAGTCGCCAGTAGTCTTGTGGAGCATTCCATATCTTTAGAGACTGTTATAGACCTGTACAGCCATAGGGTGTAGATTTACATTTAAGTATACCTGAACAGGCACCACTTGCCATGGAGCGGGATCCAGGAAAGGAAAAAGGGCCCATGAAAAAGAGGGACACACAAAATATTAACTGTTTGCTGAACTCAAGCACTTTCACTGAGTTTCTGTTGTACTAAATATGAAGATTAATAAAATTTCGTTGTTTCACCTGTGATTTAACTTCCATTGTTCTTTGGAAATTGCTTGAAATATAATTTTTGACTTTGCCCTAACACTTTTGCACAGTACTGTAGGTGTTGCAAAAACACCCACAAATGGATAAGATACTGCTTGGGGGTGAGATAGGACTTCTCCAGCTTGATAAGCCATCCCACACAAGCTGCCTCCTGTAGGAGGAAATGGGGATGTTTGTGAGAGGCTTGTTGGGACAGAGCTAAAAGAAACCAGTTGTTCATATACTGATGGAACCTCAAACACTGAGTGTGATGATGGTGGCCAAAGGCTCTGACCAGACAACAGCAGATTTATGGGACCAATGCCAGACTAAAAGGTAGAGCATGGAACTGAAACACTCGACCCATGAACAAACCAATAGTAATGTCTTGATGCAGAAGAGATAGGAATATGAAGGTAAGCATCCGAGATGTCAACCTTGGTGATGCAAAGTTTTGGAGTGAATTACTAACAAAGTGTGAGGAAAGACTCCATAACCCTGAGACGAATCAACAATGAAACTGGCACTGGGGTGAGACACGGGAACAGGGGTGGGATAGGTTTGGGAAAAGATGAGAAACAAGAAGAATGTTAACATGCAGCTTCCACCCAAGACTCTGAAGGATCAAGAATATCCCCAAAATAGACTGTCATAAAAAAAAAGGCCCAACAAAGGTCTCACAAATAAGAAACAGGTAGACACATGTGAGACAAGAGGGCATCCTCACCAAATGATCCCAACAATAAAGCAGCCATGTATGAAGGGACAAGGTTGAAGAAGATAAGCTCACTAAGGTGGAAAAGAGAAGGGAATGTGTATCCTCCAAAAAAAACCCTCAAGGTAATGGTAAATAGCCTCAGAAAGGAAGTGGATGGAAGAGAGATAACGGGTAACATACTTGGGAAATAATGTCCACACAAAGCCAAAGGAGGAAGAGGGAAATCCAGAGGGGTAGCATGGGATGGCACAGTAAAGGTTGGGGTTAAAAAAGAAGCTGTCCAAATCCTTATCATCAGGACCAGATTCTCCCAGAAATAGGAGATCCAGCTGAGGTTTTGGAGATGTAGCAGGCTGCAAGAGTGTTTACAACTTGTGACATACCATAGCCAAAACCTCCTCTTAAAAAAGTGTTGGAGCCCGAAGCCACAGAAGTAGTAAGTGGTGGTGGATTAGTAGTGGCCAGATCCATAACAGAAGGCATTGTAGTGACATTAATGAGAGTTCATTCCATGGAAATGAAAAAGAAAAATAATAAAAATTTAGCATGACTGCACATTGGAATGCCAAATCGAGAAGTGATGAGAGTGCTCTAAATATAGAGGGAGTCAGCTGCATTAGGAGGATGTGCTGTACTCCTGTTGGTGGAGAGTTGTTACATGCTCATTTGCATCCAACAGCACAACTATACCACTATTATGCGATGGTAGGTGGAAGCATCAAGGCTAGTGGTAAGTAAAAATAGAGCATATATAGAGGGCAAGATAAGTCAAGAAAAGCTATCATGTGAGAGTAGGTAAGGTATTGCATCAGAAATAATAATAATCAAAAAACCCTAATTTCAATTTCAACTAGATTATTAATTTTGTAGCCATCAATATAATTGGAATTTTGATTAACTAATGACTGATTGGACTAATCATGCACCTAGGTGAAGTGTCTAAACTTTGCCTTCAAACTTTCCTTTTTTTTGGAGTTATTCTTCTGTCAATAGTTTATTTTATGAGTAAAGTTTCTACTAGCATTACTACATAAGTTTCAATCTTCCAGTGCTTGAGTTTAATACATAAAATGTTATCATACATATGTGTGTGTAGTATAATGATTGTCTTCATTGCCTCCAACGTGTGAATGTCACTTTTTTTGGCATTCATGAACTGTACTTTGTAAGTTGTCTTTATGTACTAATAATCAGTTCATGGGAATAATCAATGCGTCTTTATTGAAACAGGAGATGCTATCGTAGACTACCTACTCACCGCTTTACTGTTACAGAAACATATCATCATAAAAGTGATAAGTTTATTGTATATATATGGTTAATTGTTATTTGGCATTATTCTTGAGAAGTGTTTAGTACTGTTAATCATTCTTTTGTGTAATCTTACAAATTAAACTTTTTTCTTGTCCCCCAAACTGCTTATTTTCTTTTGAATGTTTCTGTTTGAGATATTCTAGTTATTACAAAAAGTCCCAACCACAACACTACTTTATTAATTTCTGAAACTTGTGTAACTTGTGTTGTAATCAACAAATGTAATTTTTATCTTACCCTCAGTGTTTGTTTGTTTGTAATTAAGCACAAAGCTACACAATGGGCTATCTGTACTCTGCCCACCATAGGTATCGAAACCTGGATTCTAGCATTATAAGTCCACAGACATACCGCTGTGCCACTTGGGGGCTACCCTAGAAGTAATGTAAATGTTTGATGTTACATATTGATATGGGAATGGTCAACGAATTGGTAAAATATGCTCATGATAATAACGTTTTGAATGTAATTGGTGGTGAGGAAGATGCTTTTGTTTTACAAAGGAATTAGGATCATTTGGATAATTTAGCAAATAAATGGCAGGTGGCATTTAATTATACTACATGCAAGGTAATGTATGAGAGTTAATGAATTTCAATTATAATTAACAACTTGATGCAAATCAACTCAACTGCATTATGGAAGAAAAGGATTTTTGTGTTTTGACTGATCAGTCTCCTAACCCTTCCAGGCAATGTGCTGTTGCCAGTGAGAAAGCAAATATGATTTTGGATTGTAGTTACATCAAAATTTTGAATATAACTCAAAGGATTTATCATTTCTTTGTACAGATCTCTGGTTAGGCTTTATTTAGAGTACCGTTTTCAATCTTGGACTCCTTATTTTAAGGACATTGAGTTGTTAGAAAATGTTCAAAGGAGGCTACTAAAATAATTAGTCAGATGGAGGGGTTGTCATATGAGGACACGTTAAAGCCCTTAAAATTAGTTTATTTTTAGGAAAGGGTTAGAGGGTATATGATTGAAGTGTTCAAAATTATAAATGGGGCACATAATATTGATGTACTACCTTTTTTCATATTTAATAGTAAGAGTAGTAGGACTAAATGACAAAAAATTCAGATTTGGTAGAGTAGAAGTTGTTTGTAAATTAGGAAACTCATTTTTGAACATGGTGATCAATCCTTAGAAGTCTTGATGAGTAAGTCCAGAAGCTGGATTTAAGTAGATGGTTGTCTGATGAATGGGACAGCCACAATTTGGATTAAGGGACCCACTAATGTATGTCAAATGTTATGAATCCTAGAAATCTAGTTGTCAGAGTGGGATATTTTTTTAAAATTATTACTAATAATGCTACACTCTATAGCATTACTATCTTTTCCACCATGCACTGCCACTCTTCATTCACTGATAATGATTTGGTTGAAAGCTTCAAGCTAACATAACAATGTTTAGGGACAACAAGGGCATATTGGTCTATCATGGCTTTCTCATCATCTAAACTAAACTAAAACAATGCAATAATTTAAAAAAAAACGTCAAAGTCAGCACTTATCATTCGTATACTTATCAAGATTTCTCTTAAAAATTAAATTTAAAGTGAAGTTAAAAAATTTAAGTTAAACACCTCAATCTTACTCTTAGCAAAATATTTTAAATGACGTTGTGAAAAATTTTCAATGTAAACAAGTTAAAACCTTTGTAATTTACCGATAACACGTAACATGAATTTTTAATATAGTTCTAACTTCTTTAATAATTCTCAGAAATTATTACTATGGTATAACTATAAGTAAAACTATGAACGAAACAAGTACCACTAATAGTAATATTATGTACTATATTAAAATTATTATTAATATTACTACTAATAATAGTAGTACTAGTAGTAATATTACTATTAATATTTTAAGTATTTACTACTACAACTGGTAGTGATAGTACCAGTACTACTAGTAGTAGTACTACCTTTTTCAAACTATTCTATTCCAATAGTATTTCTTTATAGTCTTCAATATTGAATACAATTAAATTATACATTATATGAATTTTCAAAATTTAAACTTAATTCTACAAAATAAAAATTAGTACCATTGCCAAATGTACACCATGTATCATCAGAAACTTACCGGAATAGAATTATTATACCGCCATTAAAGAACAGGCTCGTATTCCAAAAACCGTGGAGGCTCGTGATTAGTTATATTTATTAATAAAAACTAAACCTTGTTATAGGATATATAAAATGCCGCTGAAAGTTTAACAATCAAAAATATTTGTTAACATTATCATTTATCTAAGAATACTTTTAAATGAAACCCTTTAGACAAATCACAAATATAATAAAAATAAATGCGAGGCCCAGTCTATCATTCGATTTGTCATTTGCCGTCTGGTCATACAAGTTTTTCGAAAGGAAATTAGTAGTGTCAATGCTAGCTGCATATTCTTGAAATTCGTATATAAATATTAGGGGTGTGTGTGTCTCATCATGGTAGTCAGTATGATGCGTATCGAGATACAGAAGTTTTACTAACGGTTTGTTATCTATATTATTAACATTGCCTTATTTAAGTACTTTACAGAGCTTTTTCAAATTCTCAGGTTTGATCAACTAAATGGCAGCTGACAAGAGAATTAAAATATTGTTACGTCTCTGGTCGTTAGTTAATTTTCCGTAAAAATTCTTTCCGAAGAAACTTTAGCGATACACTTAATTTCTACAGTCACGCTATAACAAACGCTATAACTCACAACGAACGACACGCGCGCTCGACCCAACAGTACGTCTCTATCTCTGTCTGCAGTTCAATTACAATATTGCCGTCACTTCTTGGCCGTCTTATATACAAGAATACCGCATATCTAGTAAACACTCGAGGCTTCAGGAAGGGACATGAATGTTCTAGAAGCTCAGGACGTGTTACCAGCGTCACGTGCCTTCCGCTGTCGTAACACTTCCCCTTCCTTAGTATTGTTCGTCCCGAACAATAGCTACTTACATTAAACAATTAGCAATAACTTAATTAAATGTACAGAATTTACAAACACAAAATTAAAATTCAACGAAGTCTCTTAATTTTACGGGATGTATCTCTTCGGTACTGGTCTCTGTCTCGTTGGCTTCTGCTTCATGTGGGGTTCATCTGCTTCACTAGGAAACATCCTATCATTGGAAACAGTCACATCAGTGGTAGTAACTTCATCAAGGGCTTCACTGTTTCCCTTCTCAAAACCGAGTAGGGTTTCTTCTTTGACAGTGGCTTTTTCAGGTGACACGTCTTCAGCAGCGTCATTTGTTCCATTGTTCACTTCATCCCAAATGAAATGTCCTGGACCGTGATAATGCCAAAGCCTGTTGGCATGCACCACCTTTGGCTTACCTCGCCGACCACATTTTATCCAGAAAGTCACGTCTGAGAGACGATCCATTATGTCATATGGGCCTTCCCATGGAGAAGACAACTTAGGGGACTTCTCTTTGGTCTTCCTGGGATTATACAACCACACCTTGTCTCCTGGTTCAAAGCTGACTTCAGTAGATCTCTTATCATCAGATAACTTCATCAAATCAGCAGACGTTTTCAAGTTTGAACGCACTTGATGGTGAATATCATCCATCCTTTCTGATAACACTTTCACAAACTCTGACACATTCTCAGGCAACTCTTTGTAAGGTGGGTGTCCTGTTATCAGGTCCACTGACAACCGAAGTTCGTGACCAAACATAAACTTTGC